GCCGGGCCCGGCGCGGCCGCGGCCTCCGCCGCCATGTGAAGCGCAGCGGGATGCGGAGGCGCGGCCCGCCCGCCCGCGGCCCGCCATGAGCCTCGACGGCGACAAGATGAGCGAGGACGCGCACCCGGACGAGTGAGCGGGGCGCGCGGGACGCGGCGGGGAAACGGGCGGGGGTTGGGGGGGGGGGCTCCGGGCACGGCGGGGGGGCCGCAGCCCGCGCAGCCGCCATTTCTGCGCGCTCTCCCCCCCTCCCTCATTTGCATACCGCGTTTTCATTCATAAAAAAATAAATAAATAACGAGGCGGAAAATGACCGCACGGTAATTAGCAGCCCGGCGGGGCCGCCCCGTCTGGGGGCGGCCGCTGCCCTCGCCGCCTGCCCGCGGCGCCCCCGGCCCCGCTCCGCAGCGCGGAGCCGCCTCGGGGCTGCAGCCCGGGCCCCCCCCCGCGCTCCCCAGCCGGGATTGGGGGGCTCGGGACGGGACGGGACGGGAGGACGGACGGGGCGGGGGGGGAGGCGGCCGCGCGGGCCCCGCCGCCGTTTTGTGAATAGGAGGGAGGGCGCCGCGCGGTCACGTGACGCCGCATTCATAAATCCGGTCAGCGGCGGCGCCCCATTCACCGCCCCCCCCGCGCGGGCCCCGCGCGCGCCCGTGGGCGCTCTGCAGCCTCGGGGCGCAGCGTAGCCTATGGGTGCCGTGCGTCCTATAGGTGCAGTGTAGCCTATGGGCACAACGTAGCCTATGGGCACAACGTAGCCTATGGGTGCCGTGCGTCCTGTGGGTGCAATGTTAGTCTATAGGGGCTGCACAATCTATGGGTGCAGTGCGTCCTGTGGACGCTGTGCAACCTATGGGCGCTCTGCGTTCTATGGGTGCACTGCGTCCTATGGATACTGTGCAGCCTGTGGGCGCTGTGTGTCCTGTAGGCGCTGCACAGTCTATGGGCGCTCTGCATCCTCTGGGTGCAATGCGTCCTATGGGTGCAGTGCAGCCTGTAGGCGCTGCACAATCTATGGGTGCCGTGCATCCTGTGAGCGCTCTGTGTCCTATGGGTGCACTGTGCCCTACGGGTGCTCAGCGTCCTGTGGGTGCAGTGCAGTCTATGGGTGCTGCACCATCTATGGGCACTGTGCATCCTATAGGTGCTGTGCAGTCTATGGGTGCAGCACAGCTTCTGGGCACTGTGTGTCCAATGGGTGCTGTGCATCCTATAGGTGCCACACAGTCTATGGGTGCTGCGTGTCCTGTGGGCGCTGTGGGTGCAGTGTAGTCCATGTGTACAGCGCATCCTATGGGCACTGCATGTCCTATGGGTGCTTCCCAGTGTATGGACGCTGTGCATCCTGTGGGTTCTGTGTGTCTTGTGGGTGCTGCACATCATATGGGTGCCATGCAGCTTATGGATGCTACATGTCCTGTGAGCGCTGCATGTCCTGGATGCTGCATATCCTATGGGTGCTGGGCATCCTATGGGTGCCATGCAGGCTATGGGTGCTGTGTGTCCCATGCGTGCTGGCGTCCTGTGGCCCCGTCCTGGCCCCATCCAGGCGTGTATTCCCGCCTGGATAACCCCTGGCGGTGCTTTCCCCCCACGAGGATGTTAAAGAAAAGCGTTATTCCAGGTTTACAGGAATAGCTCAAAAAGCGGCAGGCACCAGAACGTCCTTCCTGGCCATCTCCTGGATTTGACAGTCGGAAAAGTGACTCACCGCCCAGCACACCGGCTTAATGCCACATACCGTGGGACGCACCGGGCTTTAAAATGACTTCTGCAGGGCTGGTAAAGCAGCCCCCAGACTGTGCAGCTGGTTCAGAGGCCTCGCGGTGGCCAGCGCGGTGCTGTGCGTGAGCAACGTCGGGCTGCTTGTCACACGCTGTGCGTGGAAACGCCAGCGGAAGGGAAACGGCTTCTGACTGCAGCTCCTGCTTTAGGAGGAATTGTATTTTGGGCACTTCTTAATGAGGAGACTATAAATACAGGTTTATATGGAGCTTCTGAAGCTGGCTAGTTTGAAGTCGGCGCAGTTCTTGCAGGAGAAAAACCAACAACGAGATGGGTTTGTTTCTGTTGCCGCGTGCCATGGCGGGGTTGGCCGGGAAGCGCGCGAGCCAGTTTCCAATAAACCCCGCGGATCCGTTTCGCTTTGGCGAGGAGAGGAGGGCGCCCGCGCGGCGCGGGGGTCCCGCGGGGTGTCCCATGGGGATGTGAGTGTCTGCAGGGTGCCGCTGGAGCCAGGGGGCTGCAGGGGAGGCCGGCACGGCTGCCAGGCCGCGCTCCGAGCCGGCGCCACTGCCTTTGGACGCTGATGCTCCGTTGAGCCCGGCGCGGGTGCCGAGCCCCAGGGTGGTCCCGGTCCGGGCCCTGCAGCCCGTGGCTTCCTCCCGCTCCGCGCTGATGGATAGCCCTGCCGAAGCCAGTGACTCATCCCTTGTTTTTCACTTCGGCGGTGGGTGAAGCGATTTCTCTCTCTTTTTTTTTTCAATCTATATGGTGCTCAAGGCAATAAGGACGGGCTCTCCCGATAAGTTTGCTCGAGCTGTCAGAACAGTGGTGCTATTTGCCCTACATATCTGGCTCCAATTTGCATAGCTATTCCCGCTTCCCTGAGCGCGGGGAGCAAATGTCAGCAGCTGCCTTGCAAAGAAAGGGCCGCTGTCAGGGTGCGCTCTGAAATACCCTGCTTTGGGTGAATTCAAGGTGTGGGGGGCGATTCTTGCTCTTTTGGGGGCATCTGTGCTCTCTAGCAGCGCTGCAGCGTTTGGAATGTGTAAAACCAAGCAGGCAGAACAGGGTGCAGGGTGCTGGGAACAGCTTGGATCCTCCGGACTGCACCATCCAGGATCGATACTTGGAGGTCAGCCTGTCATTGCGGAGCGCGCGCCGCTTCCCGCCGCTCCGGCCCAGATCCCTTGCCGTGCTGCCGGCGGTGCCGGGACCTCGATCCGCGGGGGAGCCGGCGTCGGAGCGCCCGGCGCGGCCGGCGATTCCGCGGGCTTCCAAGAAAGCCACAGGAAGTAATTAGCTGGAAAAGGTCAGCGGACGAGGAAGTGTGGGAGCCTGGCGCCGCGGGCATCGCGGCGTCTCCCGCAGCCCGTGCCCGGCTTCTCCTTCCCGGAGTGTCTCTGTGTGTTTGGATGGGGCCTGGGGCCGTGCGCGTGCACAGCGAGCGCCGCGCCGAGCGGCACGTGCGCCGCGTTGCCGTGCCGCGTTGCAGAGCGCGCCCTCGCTCCGGGTGCTGCATTTTTCCCATTCCAGCCCAAGGGAATTCAGCAGGACTCGTGCTAGTTTGTGCTCTCGCTGCTCCCCAAATCCCACTTCCTTCCCGCGCTGGAAAGGGACCAGCGGGCGCTCGCTGTGCCCGTGCGGCGGCCTCGCAGCCTGCGCCTCACGCTGGGAAGAGAACTCGTTTCTCCCCATTTTCGGGGCGGCTCTGCCCCTGTTTCTTTGGTAGCTCTAATAAGTGGCTCGTTCAGCTAAATTTCTGTGGTCCCTTTCGGCTGGGGGGGGACGTGGGACAGACTGTGTGTCCGGACATCATTGCGCACAAATAGGACAGGAAGCGAAGGGTTGCCAAAATATAACTGTTTATTTCTTGGCCTGAAAACACGGCTGTTTAAAATATTACATGTAAGTAGCTGCTTGCTTCGGTTCCTTGGAGAGCCTGCTGCTCATGAGGGAACGGCTCTATCGGATGACAAAAATAAAGAGACAAAAATAAAAACCTACCCGTTTCCTCCTCCTGCGTTGGGAGCCGCTGGGGAAGGAGCTGCAGAGAGGAGCATGGAGACGGCGTTCGGAGAGCGCTCGGCCTCCTCGGAGCAGGGATTTGGGGAAGGGGATCGCACAGGAACGGGGAGCACAGAGGTTCCCCTGCCCATAAAAGCTGTGAGCAGCCAGACGCCTTCGTGGTGCAGGCTCGGGGCGCTGCCCAGGGTTTTGGGTGAATCTTTATAAATACATATATTTATAAATATATATATATGTAGGCACTGGCTGGCAGGAGCGCTGTGAGCAAGGAGGACACAGCCCTGAGCCTCACGGCACAGCTAAAGCGTGGCCCCGGGTGCGGGATTTGGGCTTGGGAGCTGTGCTGGACGGGAAACAGGTGGAAAAGGAAAGAGTGCCGGTCGGGCCTCTCGAGAGGGCAGGAGCGCTGCCCTTGGCACCTGCAGGCCGATTTGCCCGCGCTTCGCTCTCGGGCCGGCCTTTGGGAGCGGGTTTGGGGCCGGAGGAGCGTTGTGCGGGCAGAGCCCCCCTTTCTGAAGGCGGCAGGTTGTCCCCAGGCCATGGACCACCTCCGTCCTGGGCCTGTGCCGCGCGGCTCGCCGCCTCCACGCTCCTTTCCTGCTGTGTTTTGTGCTTGTTTTCTCTGTTTCCCTTCCCATTTGGGGTCTGTCCTTTCCCCTGCACGCTTCCCTGTGCTCTGCTTGCGGCTTTTTCCAGGAGCCGGCCAGCTGCAGGATTCAGCCTCCGGCACAGCTCCTTTTCCCGAGGCCATGGCAAACAGTGGGCGAAAGGAACCGCCGGCCGCCTCGCGCAGCAGAAGCCTCCCCCTCAGAAGTAAACGGTGTTTTCTCAAAAGCAGCTATTACAGAGCACACTTTCAAGGCTGTGAAGGAGCTCGTGCCAATAGCAGGCAGGTTCTACCTGTTGCATTAGGTCGAAGTGGAATTAAACCCCGATTGCTTTTTTCTTTACTCTGATTTGCTTCTTCTTTGGCTTTTTGATTAACCTTCTCCTTTGACTTTCCTTCCTTGCAACGTACCCCTCAAGAGCTGTGTTTTGTCTCTGGAAACACTGAGATTTTTGACTCGTGTCAGGCACGGGAGCCATCCAGGTAGCCCCGTAACTCTTTAGCATGGGCTAACATTGGTGGGAATTGATGCACCGTGGCTCGCTGCGCGCTCGGGACGAGGCAGCTCCCGCCTCCGAGCCGCAGCCGCCCTGCGCCGCCGTCCTCCACTCGGAGTCTCTCGGCCATTTATGCTTTTGCACCCATTTATTTATTAACACACCCTCGCTTTATTTATTAGCAGCTTATTAATTGGTGGGAAGCAGTTTCGGGGGAAGGTATGAGGTGAAAGGAAGCCAGCCCATAACCGCCTTCTTGCGTATGCCCGTTTAGTTTT